ATTGCTTGGTTTGGGGTGTCAAACCAAGTGTGAGGGGGGAGAAGTGTTCATACTACAAGTGATGTAACGCGTCTCAACTCTCGGTCACCGAAGCCCTTGACTTTGGCATGATAGGGTTTTGGTATTCATTTATATGTTGCATGCATTTTCATTGAATTGCAACCTTGGCTCCTTAGGCCATCACGCATCAAAATGCATGATTGATGGCCCGAGGGTCGAGAGTCATGCTCTCTTGAGTCCCTTGCATGATAGGGAGTGTGCCCGCGCATACATTTGCTTGAAATTCCATGTCATACACTGTCTGTCCTTGTTGCTGTCAAAAACCAGTTTCTGCAGGGAGTTTTTGCCGATCGGCACTGTAGAGTGTCGACTGGCCATGGATTGGTGGCCGATAATATGAAACCCCAGCCGATGGATAAGTTCCATGGCCGGTGGGTATTCCCTTCAGCCGATGGTGTCCTACAGGGTTCAGGGAACCTGTCCCAGGATTTTGGCAGTTTTCAGAGAAGCATGGCAGTGTAAACAGAGGCAGCAGTGGTATGGTATGGGCTTTCGGGGAAAGATAAACCCGAGCATGCATCATTTACGCATCCCGAGGCGGGGGTTGTGGCCATCTTCTCTTTGCATTTAATTTGTTAATTAGATTAGAAATTTTGTAAAAATTAATTTAGTATTATTTATTCGGACTGTAATATTTATTTGGACCCTCCGAGCGAGGGCAATTGTGTAATAAGTGTGCGTGAGTGTGTATATGTCTTCCAACCCCACGTCTTTCTTCCCTTTTATTTACCCGCTTATGATGGTAGACTAGGACATATTTAAATTAGCATACCTTATGCTATGCATGCGTGCATCCACACATTTGTCTTACATGCATCGGGCTCGGCGCATCACTCTAACTGCATTTGTATTTTAATTTCAAATTGAATACGTGTTAGTTGTAGCATTTCACATGTCATTGTAGATTAGCCGAGCCTATCTTAGTTGCATTTTGCATGTGTCGCATTAGCCATCTTAACATGAACTAGGATGATGCATATGATTACTAACTAGTTTATGTTTTGGCTTGGAGTACTCTGTAAGTTCTTTTGCTTTAGCATCCTTGCATGCGTGTGAGTGTTACCATGATAGCATGATTACCATGAGGCTAGCTGCTTATGTGATATAACTGCTTGAATGCCTGTGGATGGAGGTGGAATCACCTAAATTGGAATAATGCATTAAAACTGTGAGTTTTAAGCCCACTAGATAGTGGCAAAATCATTTTTTTCTAAAGCCCACTTGAGGGTGGCAAAATCTGCATTTTAGCCAACTTGTGAGTAGCAAACCATTTCCGAAACAAACATGAAATGTTTTGTTCCAATTTAGGCGATTTGGTCTATACTTGTCTGCTGTGCGCATAACATAGTAAATTTAGGCTAATAACCGGAATAAGAACGCATAACGTTTTCAAAATTAGATATCATGGTTAGTAGAGGCCGATCTTCGGATCGGGCGAGAGGGGGTGCTCATAGCTGACCTTCCCCAATCGTACCCAAGTTCCCGAGCCGAGGCAACTTTGGTGATGACGGACACGTGGCCTTTGGCACCGAGTCAGGGTTTCCTAAATTCCCCCAAAATAAAATATTTAGGTGGCGACTCTGTATCTGGCAAAGCAGTCCATGTTTGGCACTTCTTTCAAAAATCTGTTTTCTCAAAACGATTTGCCAGATTTGGACTCTTTGGTTCAGATTAAGAACCGTGACATAAATCGAGTCCGAACTGTAGCGGGGTCCTTGCGGACGTGTTACACCATTGCCTTCACCCAAAAAAGAGGGGACGATTGTGGCTGACAATGATCCATTTGGAGAAGTAGAGGCCTATTATGCTGATGCTCGCTTCTATACAAAGACTTCACAAAGAAAGGAAAAAATGTGAAAAGTCTGAAGATACTCCGAATGTCAAAGACGCTCTAGAGTTTACTCCAGTTTCAATAAAAAGAACTTTTTGATATGTGCCAAAGTCCGAAAGGAAACCGTGCGTAAAGGCTCTAGCCCTAATAAATCCAATTTTAGATCTCAAGGGTGAGTTCACGTTGCCATTAAAGAGGACAAAATGCACCTATGTGGAAAAATATAATAAGATTATGGTCCCTCCTAAAGGAAAAGGGTCGAAACCCATCATATTCCATTTATTTGGAGATGTTGAACAGAAAGTGAAAGTTGAACAAGTGCCAGAAGAAAACATCTCGAGTTTTCAGAATCCTACCTTCAGTGCAGAAATTACACAGATGTTGGTAAAAGTTGGTTTAGATCTTGAAAAAATACCAGGAACAATGACACCCTTTGACTTTGCATTAACACCTTCGCAGAGGCAGGCTATCTAGCAAGGCGGTATTATCATCGCCAGGACAGAAGGGTTTGGCTATCGGGGGGATAAGGAAAAATTTCCAGTAAACATGACTATCACTCAAGATGTGTTAGAAGATGTTGACCAAGATGAAGCTCAACCTACACCAACAGAATTTGAAGTAGGAGGCCAAGCCACTGTTTATGACCTTTGTGAGGTAAATTTGGGTGATGAAGGAGAAAACAAACCAACCTTCATTAGTGCACATTTAAAGGAAGAAGAAGCTCAGCAATATATTTCCTTCTTAAGAGAGCATCGCGACATATTCGCATGGAACTACAGTGAGATGCCTGGTCTTAATCCAGAGATTGCAGTCCGTAAGCTTTCAATTCGCCTTGAGAAATGCCCAGTTAAACAGCCTCAGAGGCGAACTCGACTAGAGCTTACAACCCAAATTGAAGCTGAAGTCGACAAGCTTATCAATGCAAGATTCATCAGGGAAGTCAAATATCCAACCTAGCTAGCAAACATAGTGCCGGTCAAGAAAAAGAATGGTCAAATCAGGGTTTACATTGATTTCCATGATCTCAATGAGGCTTGTCCTAAAGATGACTTTCCCTTACCTATCACTAAACTTCTTGTAGATGCAACCACTGGGTATGAAACCTTGTCTTTTATGGATGGATACTCAGGATACAATCAAATTCGAATGGCACCTGAAGATGAGGAAATGACTGTATTCAGGACTCCGAGAGGAGTCTTTTGCTATAAGGTAATGCCCTTTCGCCTGAAAAATACTGGGGCCACGTATCAAAAGGCGATGACTATAATTTTTGGTGATATGCTCCATGACACCATCGAATGCTATGTTGATGATCTTGTCGTCAAGACAAAGGAAAGGGAAAACCATGTGGAAGATTTGAGAAGAATCTTCGAACATTTGAGGAGGTACAAACTCAAGATGAACTCACTCAAATGTGCATTTGAAGTTTCCTCAGGAAAATTTCTAGGGTTTGTGGTTCGAAACAAAGGGATTGAAATTGACCCTACCAAGATTAAAGCCATTGATCAAATGCCTCCTCCGCAAAATTTAAGGGAATTGAAAGGGCTACAAGGGAGATTGGCCTATATCAGAAGATTTATTTCTAACTTGGCTGGTCGATGCTTGCCATTCTCAAGATTGATGAAAAAGGGTGTTCCATTTGAATGGGATCAGCAGTGCCAAAATGCTTTTAATAGTATCAAAGAGTATCTTTTGAAGCCTCCAGTACTCATGAGCCTAATAAAAGGGAAACCACTCTTGTTGTACATAATAGCCCTGGATGGTTCGTTAGGGGCACTGTTGGTACAACATAATGAGCATGGAAATATAAATGCCTTGTATTACTTGAGTCGTACTCTGGTTGGGGTAGAATTCAATTATTCTTCTATCGAAAGGACATGTCTTGCCTTAGTGTTCGCCTTGCAAAACTAAAGCACTATGTCTTGGAACACGAAGTCAAGTTGATATCAAGAGCAAACCCCTTGAAATATATACTTTCACAGCCTATACTTTTAGGGAAAATTGCAAATTGGGGTGTAATTCTCCAACAATTCGTAACTGAATATGTTCCGTAAAGAGCTGTCAAGGGGCAGGCTCTAGCAAATTTTTTGGCATCACATCCTATACCTGATGACTCACCTCTAATAACTGATTTTCCAGATGAAGAGGTTATGCAAGTAGAATCCAGAAAGGATAGGAGATGTATTTCGATGGAGCTTCAAGGAGTCCAGATGGCAAGAAGCAAAAAAGTCCTAAAAACAATAAAGCTGGAATTGGAATTGTGTTTGTGACTCCAGACAATGCTATAATCACCCATTCTTTTGCCTTAAGTGAAGGATGCTCCAATAATGAGGCAAAATATGAAGCTGTAATTGCTGGATTAGAATTGGCATTACAAATTCCTATTGAAGAACTCTCAATTTATGGAGATTCAGAATTGGTGGTAAAGCAACTTCGTGGAGAATACATTGTTAAGAAAACAAGTCTCATCTTGTATCATGAGAGGGCTAATCAATTGCTTTTGCAATTCAGGAAAGCACATATTTTCCATGTGAAGAGAAGAACAAATGCTCAAGTTGATTCACTTGCAAGTTTGGCTGCATCACTCACCCTAGCAAATAGCAAAACAATTACTATCACGGTAGGTGAAAGAAGGGTGTTACTACCTTTAAAAGAAGTTTCTGACTTGGTTCCAATCTTGGTCGTCACCACGAAAGGACAAATCGAGGAGGATTGGCGGGAACCATTCATAGCTTACCTCCAACATGGTAGGCTACCTGAAGATAAAATAAAAAGAATTGAAGTGAGGCGCAGGGCTACCAAATTCGTCTTGTGGAAAGATGGGTTATGCAAAAGGTCTTTGGATGGAATGTACGTGCGGTGTATAGCCAAGAAACGTATTCAAGAGGTAATGGCAGAAGTACATGTGGGTGTATGTGGGGCACACCAAAGTGGTCTTAAATTACATATGCAGCTAAAATGGTTGGGATACTATTGGCCGACTATGATTGCAGATTGCGTAGATTATGCTCGAAGATGCCAAGTCTGCCAATTCCACGAAAACTTTCTCCACCAACCCCCAGAGCCTTTACATTTAACAACTTGTTCTTGTCCATTTGCAGCATGAGGTATGGACATTATTGGTCCCTTTGTACCTCCATCTTCAACAGGATATCGATACATCCTAGCTGCTACTGACTATTTCTCAAAATGGGCAGAGGCTGTGGCTTTAAAGGATATAAAAAGCATAGTTGTCTCCGAGTTCATCCGAACCCATATCATTTATAGGTTTGGGATTCCAGAAAGTGTCATCATGGATAATGGACAGCCGTTTAGGAGTGATGCTTTGAACAAGTTATTTGCCAAGTACAAAATCAAAAACAACCATTCATCAAGATATCATGCACCTGCTAATGGCTTGGCAGAAGCTTTTAACAAGACATTGTGCAAAATTCTCAAGAAGATGGTGGATAAGAACAAAAGAACTTGGCACGAAAAGTTACAAGAAGCTTTGTGAGCTTATCGAACTTCGGACAGAACTCCTACTCAAGCAACCCCTTATTCGTTGGTTTTTGGAGGAGAAGCAGTGTTACCACTTGAGGTTCAAATACCATCATTGCGAGTGGCAATACAAGAGTCCTTAACAGAAGATGAAAGTGCAAGAGTGAGGTTGGCTGAGCTCGAGACCCTAGATGAAAGAAGGTTGTATGCTCAACAAAACTTGGAGATCTACCAATAAAGGATGGCAAATGCATTCAATAAAAGAGTGAGGCTTCACTCCTTTAAAAAAGGAGACTTGGTACTAATGGTTAGAACACCCATAATAGTCTCACGAAGAACCCAAGGAAAGCTTGAGCCCAAATGGGAAGGACCTTATGTGATTGAAAATGTTTATTCTAATGGGGCCTATTTGTTGATAACGATGGATGGTGACAGAATCAGTCCCCCAACCAATGCAAGGTTCTTGAAGAGATATTACCCTTAAGAAAGCCTGCTAGGTTGAAAACCCGAAATGGCGGCCTAGGCAAAAGTTAGGGCGACAAAAAAAAAAAAAAAACCACCACCAACGGTATTGTATGTGGTTAAACTGCTAAAATACCCCACCAAAATCTAAGGTGGTAAAACATTGGATACTCCTGACCCGCAAGAGTATAAACTGTGTACGGCCAAACATAAGTCAAAGACCACCAATGGTATTGTATGTGGTTAAATTGCTAAAATACCTCACCGAAATCGAAGGTGATAAAACATTGGATACTCCTGGCTCGCAAAAGTATAAACTGTGAACGGCTAAAATAAGACAAATTAATGTATTGTATTGAGAAATTTCATATAACAAATAAATTTATCACTGAGCGAAATTTCATAAATACATTATGTTCAGGTGAATAACAAAATAAAAGTGCATTCATTCATTAAAAGAAGCCTTAGCCCTTTCAAAAGCACATTCCACAACACTGTGTTGTCCATTCTTCTTCTTGTGCTAGCTCAAAACATTCAGAGCAGTTTGCACGTATTCTTCTGATTTAGAAACACTCTCGGAAGCTTGTGCAAAATCACACATAAAAGATGCATGTTCCGCTTGGGTGGATGACAATTCCTTTTCAAGTTGTTTGAATAATTCTTTGGTTTGAATAATCCTTTGATTAAGACCCGCAATGTGCTCATCCGACTTGATAATTGAAGCAGACAATTGTTCATGTTCGCTAGAAACTTTGACGAAATGAAGCTTATTCTCATAATATTGGGCCTCAAATTCTGAGGTAGACAAGTCTGAAGATTCTGCAAGTTGGGTTTTCAAAGCAAAGCACCCAAGGAATATCTTCACTTTCTCGTAAAAGGAGGTGAAGTCTACACCAAAACTCTTCAAAATCATGAAAACGTTGTTTGCTACAGCAATCATGACATTAACATCTGTCATTGATTGGAGAGAAATAATAAGACCTTTCTGAATATAGGTGGCTACTTCGTTAGAGGAAGTTCCCAAAAAAAGGCTAGATGGAGCAAGGGTTGCTTCATGTTGGTCAAATAATTTGTTAACCCCATTTGCTTCAAGTAAGTCTGCAAGAATTTGGGTCTCTTCCGAGGAATCAGAAGTAATTTTGCCTGTCTCTTCCAATGTGTCAGAAGTAATTTCGGTGAAAATAGAAGGAGACACTCAATGAAAACATATAAGGTAAAAACAATATATATGGATGAATGAAGTATACCTTGGTGTACGGCTTGAAAAGACTTAGGTGTGGGAGGTGACAAGTTGTGATTCCCACAAGTGAACCACAGATTCTGCAATATGGTATGATCTAAAGAGAAAAGAGTTCCTTGAGTATGTATACATGATGAAATAAAATGAGGTACAAGGAATGAATAAGAATACCCTAAAAGGTAGCCAATGGCATATGTGAGGCAGCTAGGGAAGTCCGAGGCGTAGTGCCTAAGAAAATGAAAGGTATTTTTCTTAAAAAATAAAAATAAAATAAAATAAAATAAAATAAATAAAAATAAAAAAAGAAGAAGAAGAAGAAGGAATTATACCTTTCTTTAACAGCTTGGATGGCTTATTCGAAGAAGGCGAAAAAAAACCTACATTTGTTGGGGGCAGTTTACTCATCTTAGTCGGTGTGCCATCTAAAAGAGGGGTGTAGTAATAAAACTCATCTTCACTCTCGCTACTCCCATTGAGAGAACGATCAAAAGATTTGGTGGGAGAAAGAATTTCAACACTCTTAATGCAAATACGACCCAAGGTAGTTAATTCATACCTATCTCCCTTAAAGAGTTCTTGAATCATATTCTCATCTTTATCTTCAAGAAAAGAGTATAGGTATGTGCGAAATTGGTCCATTAGGGTTTTGGTCGATACTGTGGGTTGGGAAGTTCCTATACAATCACTAATAGACATAGTCTCTGGAAAAAGCTTTGCTAGACCAGAAAATTGAGGGCCAGAATCTACTTGCTCAAAGCTAAATCTCATTTTAAATTGAGAATTAAACATATCCTAAAAAATATGAAGGAGATCTGAAACCGAGTAACTAGATCGGGAAGGACCAATAGGTGGGCCGAATATTATCCATTCTCTGAGGTGACGATGCTTCCAGAGCAATAGGTGAAGATGATGACCTAGCTCTTGAGTAAGAAGGCTTCTTCATCTTTCGGTCTTTAATTGACATATCTAGTTTTGTCTTGCGTGAAGATTTTAGCTAGGTATGAGTAACATATTGGAGCACGGTAAAGGAAATTCCCAACCACCAATTGGCATAAGGCATGGTTACATGAGAAGTAGATCGGGAGCCTGGTAACTCCAATGAGACTTTTGTACCGCAGCGTAGCATGTGGCGCCAGCTGTAATAAAATATATACCACTCAGAGGGCTGCTGACAAGATACATTAAGCGGTGTAAGGTATGCTTGAGCAAACCCAAATTGACGACCGTATCGATTAGGGGAGTACGGTTCAGAAATGAAATTAAATCCCATTTTAAAAGTTAAAATCCCTTGCCTCAAAGATATAAGATAGCCAAGGTGAAAAGGTGATATCCTTTCAAAGTCGACCAAAATGCAAGAAGGTTCACCTTCATCGGTAAGAGCCCTAAATTGACACTCCGTACGATAGGTTACGAGAGAGTCCACAAATGGAAATTTATCAGTAAAAAACTGGGTAGCCGATTGGTTTCCAATAAACCCAAGATATGGCATGAAATTAATATCAGGAATCGGACAAATCGACTGAGGATCCCCATGAGAGTAAGTCTTAACAAAATATAGTGAAATCCATCCAAAATGGTAATGAAAAAGACCCTGAATATTTTTCTTCCCAGGTGAAGGTGATGATGCCATTTTACTAAGAGAATGATAGAAGTATGCAAGGATGGGGATGGCCAGGCTAAATAAGGTTCTACCGGCCATTTTGGTGGCTGCATGAAAGGTAGTCGGACGAATTTCCCCGAAAGAGTAAGGGACGACAAATCTGTTAAGCCAACTCACCAAAAAACCAGAAAGATACACATTATCAAGGATTCTATCTTTTCGTTGAAAACCACTAATCGAAGTTGGGGATTCGTCAACAAATTTGAAAGTCCAGTGGTTAAACTTCTTGGATTGAAAAGAGCTGGCATAAATGTTGAAAAGCCCACGGCATGCCTTGGATGTCTGGGACGAATATAAAACATCATTGGAGGGGGTGAACTCTTCATAAAACTCGCCACGGATGGGAAGCCTGCTAATGCGATGAAGGTCCCATAAAGGGATCCCAAGTTCGCCGTAAATGGTGTGGACAGTGTTGGTGTCAGGTGACCATCGCTCTAAGAATCCTTTGAGCAAGGCGACATTCCTAGCATAAGCAAATTAGGATACATAGATTGCGGCATAAATCCCACACTTCTTCAAAATAGGGGCAAATGTAGAAAGAACGTCATTCAACCAAAAAATCCGCATTGGGGATTGCAAATGGGTAGAGATGCCACGGTCATTAAAAGAATTATCCCACTTCAATTTTTCATGTTTCATTCTCTTAAGAAGAGTATTAAATTCAGAGCAGTCAAGGTCTTCAGAAAATGAACGAAGGATTAAGACAAGGAATGAACCGATTGATTTGGAGTGCCGTTTCTCGAAAATCTCGCAACAGTTTCAAATTCCTGTATAGACCAAGTCTTCGGAAGCCGTATGTAAAGGGATGTAGGGGTCCAACTGGGTGGGTGACAATAAAGCAGTGATGGGTTTGTGCCGAATTATTTTCGGACCAGATTTATCCAATTCGTCCCTCTCATCATGTCGCATATATTCAAGTGTCATTTCCATGCTGTCTAAAAAAATAAAATAATTTTTTTAAAAAAAAATAATAATAATAATAATAAAAGAATCAGTGAAGGCAAATATACGATAATAATGTCATAGGATAAAGAAATTGACCCCTTGCCAAGGAATCAAGCTATTGGGGTGAAGGACACATTCACTGCCAAGGAATCAAGCCATTGGGGTGACGGACACAATCACTGCCAAGGATTCAAGCCATTAGGGTGACGGTCACAATCACTGCCAAGGAATTAAGCCGTTGGGGTGACGGACACAATCACTGCTAAGGAATCAAGCCGTTGGGCTAAAGGTACACAATCACTGCCAAGGATTCAAGCCATTGGGGTGAAGGACACATTCACTGCCAAAGAATCAAGCTGTTGGGGTGAAGGACATAATCACTACCAAGGAATCAAGCCGTTGGGGTGAAAGGCACAATCAGTGCCAAGGAATCAAGCTGTTGAGGTAACGGACACAATCATTGCCAAGGAATCAAGCTGTTGGGGTGACGAACACATTCATTGCCAAGGAATCAAGCCATTAGGGTGACGGACATAATCACTACCAAGGATTCAAACCGTTGGGGTGAAGGTACACAATCACTGCCAAGGAATCAAGCTATTGGGTTGACGGTACACAATCACTGCCAAGGAATCAAGCCATTGGGGTGACGGACACATTCACTGCTAAGGATTCAAGTCGTTGGGGGTGAAGGTACACAATCACTGCC